TGTTCTAAACCCTTTTAGTATAAGCCTTCATAAAACCTCACATATATGCATTATAAAATTACAGGGAATAAGTTCCATATGAAAAATTCATCATATTTCTTCTTTCTATTTTTTAGCAGAGATTCTGACATTAAGCATGAGAGCAACAGACATTGTTTTAATTCTTCATTGTGGAAGGGGAAAAAAATCAACTTTTTGCTTTTGTTTAAGAAAGAATTTTTTACATACTCCCTCTTTGCAGTCTGCCCCTTGCAAAACCAAAAAAGGATTTTAGACAGACAAAAAGTAACCACAATTATATGGAGTGTGTCATTGATAAATTCCAGGGGAATACAACAGGCTAGGTAGGCACATACCATTAGATCTAGCTGTTCAAAATCTTAAAATTCTAGCCAAGTTTAAGCTGTACTATTTGACCACACCAGCCCTCAAGACTGCACTTAATTTTTAAAAGGCTTGATCTCACTCTAGGCTTAGGCTATAAGCAAGTAACTCTTTCAAGAGAGCATTTTACACAGCAGCCTATCTTTAGACATGTGCTTAAGTCTCTTGAAGTCACTAAGTACAGACAGACTGAGAACAGGCCCAAGTCTTTCATTTTGTGACAGCCTCACATTTGTATAATTTTAGTTAATCCTGGGCTTTCTGTTCCCAGTGCATTTAGGCATGAGTTATGCTGACACAAGATGAGATCAGACTTGGTGCTGCAGTGTCTTCAGGAATTTTTGGAAGAGGATGTTCCAGGAAAATTGGTGACTTCTCTTCTGCCCACCCCCTTGGAGAAAAAAAAAATAAGAAAGCAACAACACCCCAGCACCTCACTGGAGTATGTTTAGATGTTAGAGAGGTTTCAGCCTCTCTTCTGTTGCATGACATCTGCTTCCTGCAAGTCTCCTGATTCTCTGACCATCTAAATTGGAAACAGTTTAATTATGGTTATTTATTTTGCTTTTAAACTGACCACATTATAAGACAAAGCTCACGCAACTCTTCTGTTTATAGTAGCACAGGAAGAAAAATATGCAAAGATGTACAAAAAAGGATAAGTGTTACTGAAAGCTGAGTAATAGACACAGTGTGAAATTCATGCAGTGCAGAATTACAGGTCTCCATGCACATATAAGCTCTAAAGCATGAATTTGTCTTTAGTCACATATGTTCTGAGCCATTTAAGATTTGTCCTGAAAAATTAGGTTTGAAAATGAATGTCTACAGTGTCCTGTGCTGAGTGTGACCAGGGAAACTGTTAGGGAAACTCAGGTACCAACAGAGCTCTGAACATTAATCACATTTTCCAGTTACACTGTGGGGAATTGCAATGACTTAGTTAAGGCCAGTCAGTATAATGTCCCAGCTTAAACTACCACACCCATCACACTGATAGTCAGTTGAATCAATGATTCAACCCAGATGGGAATCCAGGTTCTTCTTGGCTTACCGTTATCTCTTCTGCCCATTAGGTTATGTGACTTCCATGAGTTATTTTGCAGTTCCCGTCAAAAGAAAATAAATCCACATGATGCTAAACGCTGCCTCCCAGCTGCAATGCAAAGTGGAATTTTGGACCACAGTGCTGTTTCCTGACTCATCCTGGATCCCCTCCATGTGACGTTGGATCCATCTAAGCTGGGGAGAGCAGAATAGAAGGGCTGTGCTTTTTTTTTTTCTTTTTGATTTTTTCTTTTTTTCTATCACCCACTGTCAGATAACATGTGCATGTTCTCGCAGTGTGTCTCCAGAATGTGGAAAAAGACCAACAATACCAGAGAGGGGCCTTTCTGAATACATAAGGATAGAAAGAATAAGATAAAAGGACTAAAGATTTATACATAGGGATTATTTAAATAATGACTCACTGCCATTGCTAAGTTTATAAAATACATAAAACCCAGACAGAAATGTTGGGGCAGGGGGAAGCTGTTGAGAAGTGTGACAGAGGTGCAGGACTATAAAAAAGTTAAAAATAGCACACCCACAGAGCAAAATTTCCTTCACACCTAAATACAGCCACTACACTTCACATCTCATGCACATGGCTTTACTGTGAGCCTCTCTGTTGCTTGTTTGCAGCTGGAGGGAATCCAGAAAGCAAGGAAAACAAACACAGGGCACGTTCCCTGTGTCCATCTCATTCAGTGACATTCAGCACACACCTTTGGCTCTTTGCAGGGGTTAAAAAGACAAAGGGCCAAGCACAGCTCCGGCAATCCCGCAGGCTGCCCTGCCAAGAGAGCGCAGTGGGAAAGCCTGCTTAACCAGCCCCAAAGGATTCCCTCGTGGAGGAAACCTCAAAGAGCACAGAGGTGGCTCACTGGCCAATCCCAGCTCCAGGGGTTTCAGCCAAAGAAATCCTGGCATGTGCTGGGAATTCAGCTGATTCCCAGCTGATGAATCAGGCTCTCTGCATCCACAGGTGACCGGAGTGTCAGCGGCACACAGTGATCCGACATCTGAGATTACAGCTGCTGGATTTTTAACAGCAAAAAAGAATGAGAGGGAAAGCAGAGCAGGGATTTAAAAAGAATTCAGAAAGACATCATTATTTTGGCCACCCTGAGCTAACAGCAGGCTCGCAGGGTGACTCCAATGTTTATGGCTTTCTGCCAGTCAAACTGTAAAGATCCTGACTGTGTGGGACATTCACTCCTCTGCTTGTTTTGTGACATGGAAAAAAGGCTGAGCATATACATCCCTTCTGCTATGATCAAAATAAGGACAGGTGCTGCTGGGAGCATTTCATCCTTTGCCTTTGCTTTCCAACATCTTGCTGTTTACATGGTTAGCTGCTTAATTATCACAACTTAATCTCTGAGTAATAAAGATGCAGCATCCTCAAACAATTTAAAGGGCTCTTTCCCAATGAACAGCATCTATTTCCATTTAACACTCTAGCTTAATTAAAACTTTTTCCCCCCCCAGGGCCTTGTTTCAATTAATTCAATTGCAAAATCCCAGCAGAATGAGCAGAATGTCCAGGCTGCAGCACAATTTGCGTAATGAACACAGTGGTATCTGCAGTAAAAACATCACCTCTCAGAAAACAAGAAAAAAACCCCAAAACATGGGAAGCAGAGTAAGATCAGAGCAATTACAGTGTTTTGGAAGGTTGGTAGATGGCACAACCTGCAGTTGGGAAAGAAGCAGGCAGAGGCCAATACTTGGGAGTGGGGTCAAAAAGATGAATCAGTATTCTGGGGATCTGACTGTAGCCATTCACCAAGACAAAGATGAGGGCAGGAATACAACTTGAAATTATATCTTTCTCATATCAGTCACCTTACTCAGTACTACTGAGTGGCACTTCTCCCTTCTTGGCATTATTGTCCTGAAATCACCTACCAGCCTTTGTAATAGAAGCCATTCTTGTATTTTCAGACGCAGCAGAGACTGGTGAAGCTGCTATTTCCATTTCTGGCTAAAGCACTCAACGGGCAGAGCCCACACACTGACTGTAGGAGACTGGGAATCACAGCACTGGTCTAGAGCACAATTCTCAATGCTTCAGCACTGCACCTAATGGGAGCCTGCTCTGCTGCCCACACCCTGAGAATCCCTGTTGGATCAATCCAGTCCTAAGAAGAGGGAAAGCAAATTCAGTTCCTGGATCTCAGGCTAGTCTGGATGTCTAAGCCAAAATAAAGTTCAACTAAAAGTGAAGCCAAGCTGCTCAGCCTGATCAAGGCGAAAATGCTTCAATTTATGAGACATCTCAGAGCAAGACTTGTCTTGGAAATTTTAAGAAAAAGAGGTGTGGCACCTGCAGAATTTGGGTATCTCTGTTTGGCAGCAGGTTTACAATTATGGACTAAAATACCCCAATTTCTCTTTAAAAGACTATTTAAACACCCAACTTTGACAGAAGACTTTGGCCCTTACACTTTGCAGGAGATGATGTGCTTTTCTGGATCAAGCCCATAATAACCTAAATAAACTAATTAAAGGCAAAGATGAAAAGTCACATCAATTAAACTAATGAGGACTTGAAAAACGGTAGAGAGGCGGCGTGTCATTAGCATTAAACACCTCCAAATGGCAAACAGCAAAATCAAGTCTCTTTACTTGTCCCCAGATTTGCAAGTAAAAGAGAGAAAGTGACATGCTACAATTCTTCAAGTGCTCGCCTGCATCTTCCTGGGTCTGTCAGAGACACAGACACAGTGTGAACTGCTGCTCTCTCAGCTTCTGGTCCCATTTATCTCTATTATTCTTGGACAAGTTGCCCCAATTCAAATCAAAGCGAAGCTCTCTTTGAGGAAACATAGGTGGCTGCTCTGCGCTCCACCAGCACAGTCGCCGATTACCTAACACGCTCAGGAATGTTTCCCTTCTACAAGCAACAGCTTTCATTTTGCAATATTCGCTGCAAAACAAGGAGCTTCCCCACCCTGGGAGTTCCCTCACTCCCAAAGTGAAGCGGAGGTGGTCCCTGTGAGCAGGGAATGTTCTCCTTTGGGCTGTACCCGGCCAGCCAGGTGCTCTGCGCTCCGGGGATGGGCGCGCTCAGCAGCCGCGCTCTCGGCGATGCTGGAGGACAGTGTAGAAAGGAAGAAATTCTGCCACCGCTCCAGTAAGCAACAGTTCTGCTGAGGAGCATCGGCTGAGCATGCCCTGCTGCCTTCCCAGAGCCCGGAGCCACCGCTGCGGAGACGGAGCAGGAGCAGGGGTGCCGGGCTGAGCGCACCAACTCCTCTCCCATCTCACAGCCTCACCGCCTCGCTCCCAAAAACTAACTCCTCTCCCTTCACCCCCAAGCCCACCCCGGCAGAGCCCAGCCCTTTCCTAAGCCAGCCCCATCTCCCTCTGACAGCGGGGCAGGTGGCCCGGGGGCCGCCAGGTGCCGGCACCGCTCCGCTCCTGCCGGGGCAGCCCCGGGACAGAGCCGAGCGGAGCGTCCGGGACAGGCAGGGGGAGCGCAGGCACCTTCCCACACCGCCCTCCTCCCGTTCCCCGCGGCACGGAAAGCGCCCCAGCGGCCGCGGAGCCGCGGGGCCGGCCGGTACCTGCCGGGGCCGGAGAGCGGCGGGAGAGCGGCGGGGCCGGAGCCGGGGCCGGGTGTCGGACGCGTTGCGAGCGCGGCGGCTCCTCCCCGGCGGCGGCGGCGGCAGCGGAGGGTCTCGCTCCTTCTGCGCCGAGTGTCAGACTTTCCCTCGGCCGCCCTCCCTCCATCCCGCCACCCCTTTCCACTCCCTCGCACGCACATGCACACCCCTCCAGCAAATGGGCTGCCGCCTGGGAGTGCGCCTGTGTGTCCGGGTGTCTGTCAGCCGCCGCAGGCACACCCCCCCGCTCGCCGCAGGTCCCGCTCCCGGCCCGCCGGACGGGGCTCCCGAGCAGCGCCGAGGTGAGCGCCCCCAGCACCGATCCTGGCAGCCGTGTGCCCACCCGGGGACCCCCAGCCCGTGTGCCTTCCCCGGCCACAGCCCGCTCCGGATCACACACCTGCACAGGAGCATCCCGAGCTGTCTCTGGGATCGCTGTGCGCGGCTGCTGCTCCTCATGCACGTGGATAGAGCAGCCCCAGGTCCGCTCACGGTGTTCCCATGACACATTCCCTCCGGGACGGGACTGGCTTTGTAGACTGATTGAGTAAACAAAGCCAGCTCGCCACACTCACGATAAGTGTCCCGGAGCTCAGGGCTGGTGCGCGTTTAAGAGTTTGCCCGTGTGCAGAACCGTGGCTGCCAGGGGCACATCTGTATTCGCATTTATTTGCTTTGCCTCCGGAATGTGCTACACTGGTGGTTCTCCAGCTTTCGCAGGCTGCAGACCACTTCCTAAGGGAGGATTTCTGTGCTGGACCAGCCCACTCCCACACCAAACCATTCTCTCCAGCACATTTCCTGCTGTGGCTGCCCGAGGAAGAGCCGTGCTGCCCGCAGGCCGAGCGCCGCTGCACACATGGCACAGGCAGGGTCAGACCCTTCCAGACAACACACACTGGGCTCCTTTCAAGAGCTGCGTTTCCCTCAGTGAAGGGCTCAGATTGAAAGGCTTCAGCTGGCAGCTCAGCTGAGGAACAGACCCCGACTGTTGCTCCCGTGAAATAACCGAGGGAGCCCAGAGAAACATATTGGAGTTTCCATCATGTAACTCACCTCAGCAGAACTTCATCCTCACCCACCATTCACACATGAGTCGGATGGGTGGTCTGGGTGTACAGGGACAGGAGCTAAATAAGAGGAGGTTTTCAGGTTCACCAAAAGTCAACTTCACACCTTTTTTACCTACGTTTTTTAAACAGTTTGTTACTACAGTACCAAACTGACATTGTTTTTTATAAATTCTACACATGCAAATACAGACTGTACTTATCTACATGAGTTTTATATTCCAAAAAGACAAAGGGAGGAATTTGGAGATAGGTTTACTGTTGGCTTCTGCTGTTTAAGGCCTTCAGAAAAAGTGAAAGGAGATTTTATACTGAATTTCCACATTTGCATCTTATCACTGGTAAAAGTTTCCATTGCTTGCATCTCCACATGGCACTGCTTAGTACAAACATAATTGGGATACGTATGATGCAGATTTGAGCCCAGTTTGTGTTTTGAATTTCTGCAGAATAATTCTTGCGCTTTACCTTGTTCCCATTCATTGAAGATCACAGGCACTCTGCTGATAACCCCCTTCTGCAAGTGTAGAAGCTCAACAAATAGAAAATGAGGAGCAGGTTGGTGGAAGAAAAATCTGTGTGGGTTTTTTGGTGTTTTTCAAACATTAGAACTACAGAATAGGGGTTGGAGGTCCTTTGAGAACATGAATCCTGATGAAAAGAAAATATGCTGCAAAATTTTGTTTTTTTCCTGTTCTGGAGATATTTCAGACTCCTGTGAAAAAGAAATCAATCAATCAAAGGAAGCATGAATGTTTCCTTTTCTCATTTGTGGAACAAGTCTACAGACTCTGTGAAATGTAGGGGAGAAAAAGAAATGTTTTGGAAATGGTTTTATTTTAGCAGTTGGGGGGGGGTGTAATAAATAGGAGAATATTTGTCTTTCAAGAGTTATAAAACCGAATTTGTTAAATAGAAGCTCTTCCTGAAGTGGATGAAAGCAGGAAAAAATCCGCCCTCTTGTGGTTGCTGGCTAAAGGAAAGCCGATAAAATAACTTTTCTCTGCAGACAGCAGGGAAGGAGAGCGCTTTTGTGAGCTCTGAGACAAGGTTACACGAGGTCATGCCATGGACACAGGCTGAGCAGGCATTCCCCATCTGCACAACATCATTATAAATGGTCACTCCATGCATTCCTTGGCATTGTATTTTTAACCAGTGCTCAGAAATTCCCAGAGCAGATAAGCGCAGTTTTACTGGGAGACTCAGAGGGAATTTTACCTTTCTCAGCATCTGTGTTATTGCCACCCCTCTCAGTGATCTTTTTGGTCAGGACTGCATTTGCTCTTAACAGGGTGTTAGAAATGCCTCCTGAAATAGGAATTTCTGCCAAATTTACAGAAATGGTTTAAAGTTTCCATGGGAAGAGAAAGGTTCCTTCCCATGCTTTGAACATGTGATGATTATAATGATGGTGAGGATGATGCCATTATTTTTTGTGCAGAAAGGACACTGACTGTTGGATGGAAGAAGCATTCTACAGCTCATTTTAAACACGAATTTCAAAAGTGAGGGGGTTTTCTCTCTCTCTTTTTTTTTTTTTTTCTTTAGTAGCTAATTTTGGACTTCCCTAAGGCCAAATTCCACACCCAGTGCCCAGAGCAACTGTTCAAATTACCTGGTGCATGAAAGACCAGAAGCGGAACATCAGATACCTGTATTTTTGTTTTCTCATCAGGCAATAATACAAGCATGAATTAAATAAATGGCCAAGCAGATATTTCATAAATAACTAAAATAAGGAAGAGAGGTCAGCTATTTTTGTTACTTGCCATTTGCTTAATTTTGTGCTCGATCATTAATCTGAACAATGTCCAGACGCTGCAATGCCAAACTGGCATATTTCAGGCAAAACTATTTTCTTGTGAAATTAATTGTCATGGTAAAGTAGATAGTCCTTTAGTAAAGACTGTGGGAGAAACACGAGACAGCAGCCTGCTGCCACACTCTAAGTGTTTATCCTTAGGCTGAGTACTATTATTCCTTCTGTAAGCAGTGACAGAAATGCCTGCAGCATGATGCAATGCAGTGGTGTTGCCTAAATCTCTGAAGGAGAGGGATTGTTTTCCAAAATGTTGGGCTGAATTGTGCCTAGTGAATCACTTCAAGTGGAGCTACTCTGCATTTGGTGACTCTGAGGTCCTTCATGAGAAGGTTCCATCATTCATGTCCAACTCTGAAAATCTCCCAAGGAACCTCCCACTCTTTACAAGCCCAAGGAATAAAATGTCAATTTACACTGCTTGTTCCCAGCCATCCATCCCTGCACTTGCTTCCAGCAAAACAAGAAAATGTTAAACACGGCAGATAAAGCCACTAAAGACCAGAACTGATTTACCTTCATCTGCTGGAAAGCCAGATGAGCAGGGAAGGATCCAGAAGTGGGGCAGCCTTTGTAAGGATGAAGAGGGAGCAATGAGCTGGGCACAGAAATACAGAAATCACCTCATCCAGTCAGCCTCAAGTGCCTGTTTGTGACTCAGCCACCAAATCTGCTTCCCTGGGGAGGCTTGGGTCACTAAATTCCTATGGTTACTGTGCAAGCACATTGGCAGACTGAGTTGCATACTTGCAATAAAGTCAAATTCAAATCAAACGCTGTCCAAGAATCTGGATCAATATTCTCTGAAGACAATAAGTCGTATTTCCAATGGCACCTACATTGATTAATGGACTGTATAGAGAAGACTGTATATATATACACATATATATATACACACACATACCTGACAGTTACTAGAAGGCAGGTGTTTTAAAGAGGATAAGTAAGAAAAAGAATAGTAAGGTATTGAATTTCCACCTTGCAGTCCATCAGGAGATAAAGGCTCTTTTTCTGCACTCTTTCTCCACAGGAATAGCCAGTGTTTGTCCATTGCCCTTTGCTGATGCAGCTTGGCTGACCCTTGGGGGTCTCCAAAGAAAGACAAAAGATTCTGCTCTCTTCCTGTTCCACCACTTTGGGAAGAGGAGAATCTGCTTTACTGCAGTGTTGGTAATCATAATGCAACACCTGCACAGTAATGCTGATTTTATGTCTCTGGAAAAAAAAAAACAAAACTGGAAAACACCCTACCCTACCCCTGAACGTGGCTGTGAGGTGGTATCAGTAATATCAATAATCCCAGGGTCCTGGCCATGTCCCTCCTGACTGCTGCAAAAATTAATCCTGTCCTGGTCAGGACCTTGACAGGCATAAAGTGCATATGGGATCTGTCCCAAATATGGTGAGAAGACTAAAAATTTTGTGTACAGATCACAAATAGTATGTCAAGAAGAAAGTTTGTTGTATTTCCACTTATGTCTAGGATATGAAAGAAAATCAGATTCTGAGAGCCCACAGTTCTATGAAAAAAAATTAACTGAAGCTCATTTTCCTGCTTTATATAAATTAAACTTCTGTATTTCTACTTCCAATGAAATCAGCTGTTGAACTAATTGGTTTAAGGCATTATCCTGGTCTCCCTAAATGGCAATGACTCCTGTACTGATTCATGGGCTTCAGCACCAAGCAGGGGAGGGTAAGAATAAAATCAGCTCTGAGCCGTGTCCAGAGAACTCCACTTCCCCTCAGTGGTGGCTGTAGAAATAGGAATTATAAAACCCTCATTTTAATAAAACATGAGTGCTATGACATGAAATAGTACCATGTATTTTCTTATCTCAGAACACAGGATATCTAGTTCTGTTTATCCTTAGCATGAACAAATCTTTGTGAATGCCTGAAAGTCGCATTTTTCCAGTGAAAATATGTACTTGTGGTTAACAGAAGACAAACATCCAAGCAATGGTTCTATAGATAGAAATGTTCTTTCCTCTGAATGGCTCTAAAAGATAGCTTTGTCCAAAACACACCCTATTTATTACTTATTCTTGAATATTTTTGTTTCCTACCCAACTTAGGGCAATCCTTACCTCTGAGTGATCACTTTTCAAGCAAAATAGTGTTAAATGGAACCACATGCCTTAGTG